GACTCAAACACGGGACTCAAACACGGGACCATGTGTCTGCACTCAAACACGGGACTCGAACACGGGACTCGAACACGGGACTCGAACACAGGACACAGGACTCGAACACGCATTCCAGCATTGTTCTCTGTTTTCAGTCACGTTTCTTCTGTGTGTTCAAACTCAAAACACAGGACTCGAACACGGAACTCGAACACGGGACTCAAACACGGGTCCATGTGTCTGCACTCAAACACGGGACTCAAACACGGGACTCGAACACAGAACTCGAACACGGGACTCAAACACGGGACCATGTGTCTGCACTCAAACACGGGACTCAAACACGGGACTCGAACATGGGACTCAAACATGGAACTCGAACATGGGACACAGGACTCGAACACGCATTCCAGCATTGTTCTCTGTTTTCAGTCACATTTCTTCTGTGTGTTCAAACTCAAAACACGGGACTTGAACACGGGACTCGAACACGGAACTCGAACACGGGACTCAAACCCCGGAAACGGGACTCCAACACCATTCCTTTTTTTTTTTTTTTTTTCTCGGTCAACACAGGACCGTGTGTCTGCACTCAAACACGGGACTCGAACACTGGACTCGAACATGGGACTCGAACACGGAACTCGAACACAGGACTCGAACACAGGACTCGAACACTGGACTCGAACACGGAACTCGAACACGGGACTCGAACACGGGACCATGTGTCTGTACTCAAACACGGGACTCGAACACTGGACTCGAACACGGAACTCGAACACGGGACTCGAACACGGAACTCGAACACGGGACTCGAACACGGGACACAGGACTCGAACACGCATTCCAGCATTGTTCTCTGTTTTCAGTCACGTTTCTTCTGTGTGTTCAAACTCAAAACACGGGACTCGAACACGGAACTCGAACACGGGACTCAAACACGGGACTCAAACACGGGACCATGTGTCTGCACTCAAACACGGGACTCAAACACTGGACTCGAACACGGGACTCGAACACGGGACTCGAACACGGGACTCGAACACAGGACACAGGACTCGAACACGCATTCCAGCATTGTTCTCTGTTTTCAGTCACGTTTCTTCTGTGTGTTCAAACTCAAAACACGGGACTCGAACACAGGACCGTGTGTCTGCACTCAAACACGGGACTCAAACACTGGACTCGAACACGGAACTCGAACACGGGACTCGAACACGGAACTCGAACACGGGACACAGGACTCGAACACGCATTCCAGCATTGTTCTCTGTTTTCAGTCACGTTTCTTCTGTGTGTTCAAACTCAAAACACGAGACTCGAACACGGGACTCGAACACGGAACTCGAACACGGGACTCGAACACGGAACTCGAACACGGGACTCGAACACGGGACTCAAACACGGGACACGGGACTCGAACACGCATTCCAGCATTGTTCTCTGTTTTCAGTCACATGTTTCTTCTGTGTGTTTCTGCAGCTTTAACACTTTAATGCTTAACAAATCAACAAATGTCCGTTTTAATTAGTTTTAATCTGTTAATGTTTTTATTTTCCTCTGATATATTTTTGCTAATAATGCAGATCAATAGCAGCTAGCAGCGTCTGCTCTGTTAGCTTTGACTCTTCTATAATTCACCAGTAATATTAATTTATTATTAAAGCTTCTCTGTTTAATGTTCATTAAACTGTAGCGGCCCGAGCCTCCAGGTTCAGCTGTACTACAGTTAGCAGCCTACAGACAACAGTAGGTCGAATACGGAACCACTGATTGATGATTGATCGTTTTCTCTGTGAAAAAAACGGACTTGTGATCTCCATTTATAAACTAATGTTAGCTAGTGTTGCCCACTGTTGGCTCTCGGAGCATAAAGGTCACAACCTTTGACCCTCATCCTACATAGAGACACATAGAGACACATAGAGACACATTTCCATGCGGGCGTGTTTGCAGTTATTGTTTTATTGTACAACGTGTGGTCTGACCACATCTGATGTGCGAATGAGTACGTTTGTAGTAAGTTGTGTAAAAGGACGTTAAAGGTCAGCTGACACTTGACAGCTCTCATAAAAGTCATATTTGTCTCTCTGTTGTTGTTTGTATTTATTTATGTCTGCGCTGCTTTCTGGGATGAAAAAGAACAAACTCCTCGCTGCCAGATCCCATCTGTGTCTCTGGCTCCAGACTCAACTGTTGTTCTTCTTCTGCACAGACATAAAGAGTTTACAGTTGACTTCCTGGGGTCTGGCACAGGAAGCGTCTGATGGTGGACTTTGAGCCTGTTTGTTCACTTTCATACATTTTCTGTACGTTAACTCTCTCTGAAGTCATGTGATCTGTTCATAAAGAGCCTGTTAGCGTCCTCTGAGACTCATCCCGATCCCGGCTCATGATCCTTAATGCCGCTTGTTGTTGGGTTGCCTAGCGACCGCCGTCCGGCTGTCTGACAGTCTGAGGAATCAGCCGTAATGTGGATAATCCTCAGCACACTGTGGGGGTATTTATGTGTGTAATGAGGAGGTAATCACACTTAACTTTATTCCTCCACACCCAGCCAATGCAGACGGAGGGCGGTGCCTTAATCCACCAATTATTCACCTGCCTCCAATTAGATCGTCTGCACACACACACACACACACACACAGATGTTTTGGGGGGCAGCGGTTGTTGATCTGATCTCTGAATCATTCAGTCTGGTTTCTTCACTATCAGCTGCGGTTGGTTGATGACTTGTTTACTGACATCAGCAGCATTAGCTGTTTACACCTGTACAGGTACTGTTTCCTCACAGCACAGCAGCTACTCATCAGTGTCCATAATTAATAAACACGCAGCGCCTTTAATGCTGCCACATGCCACAACCAGCTCATCGTCAGTCCAAACACCTGGAACTCATTGTGCCTCCCACGGGACACCATAAACTAATTTATTGTATTTGTATTTGTACCCACTGATTTTTGGGATTCACTAATGTTTTCTTATTGTTCACTCGTACCAAGATAAGAACAAACATCAAGTCCACAAAGTGTCCAACGCAAAGAAACATTGGTTTCACACTGAGGAACATAATAAAAGGATGAATGAAATTAGATTATATGTTTTATAGTAATTATAATAATTGGATTATCTGTGGCCTAAAGAAATACTCCATTGATCACTGTTAAAACTATAACAATGATACTCCAATGATATGAGGTCGTCCCGTCTTCTTCCTGTCTGTCACTGTCACTTCCCCTGCTTGCTTCCCATTGGGCGCAGAAGGTCAGGTGACCTTTGAGCTAATTAACTCTAAGAAAACTGAGAAAAGGTAATATTTTAATATTTTAAGGTTTTAATATTTGCTCGGAGGCTCTGGGCAGCGTCTTGTTCAGTGTTTAAGAGAACTTGGCAGATGCTCTCGTTCGTTCTGGGAGAATAAAAGTAAAAGACTAATTTTCAGTAAATTACCCATAATTCAATGCTCAATTCATTTACATAAGCTAGAGATATAATTACTGAAGCTGTTCAGATGTACCATAACATTTATCATGAGGAGGTTTTCTGATCCGGAGGCAGAACTCATCCATCAGGACCGGACTGCAACAACATGCCTCTTCCCCCTCGGGGGGCCGCGGCACTGCTCGGTGCTGATGAGGCCCCCGGGGGCCCTCAGGGGCCCCTCGTGGCCACGCTCACCGTGCTTTCTGCAGCGGACCACCGGCCGAGCCCTGCGGCGCTGTGTTTTCACAAAACATTCCCAGCGGCTCCTCGGCGGGGGCGTGGAGGTGGTGGAGGTGGTGTAGTGGGGAGGGTGGGGGGGGTACAGAGAAATATCAGAAATTCTGTGGTTAGCGTCGGGCCCCGGTGACCGGCCCCAAACATCTTGTAAGAATAACAGTGGAGCAGAGTGGAGGGCCTGGGCGGACGCCATGTTTGTGTGTTGGTACATTCCTGGTGTGTGTTTTATTTTTCCTGCTCTGTCCCTCGCTCTGCTCTTCCCGGGGGTTGGCCGGGTGGGGTGGGCACGGATAGCTGTGGTTGGGTTGGTGGTGTGAGGGGGGGGGGTGCAGCGGAGGAATCCCAGCGGGCGACTATCAGATTCAGCATCAGGCGCTCGGACTTTAAACCGGCGAGTGTGAAGACAACTCTTGTTTTGTTTTTCTTTGTATTCGCTCCTCCTCCTCCTCCTCCTCCCTGTTGTTTTTCTAAAGAAGCCTCCTCGCCAAGAGCTGAAACAATAGCAAAGCTTTCCAAAACCTCCCTGGCTTTAAACAATGCCATCAATCACAGTGAGAACGACCCAAACACACACATATGAAGTGCAGTTTAACTCTTCACGAGGACGAAGACGAAGACGAGGATGGAGACAGAGCGAGTGTTAAAAGACTAACGAGCGCATGAGGTTTTGGGACTGAGTGAAAACATTACAAAGTGAGCCTGTAAGTCAGAACTCTGGGCGAATTATCCAAATCTGTCAGCATCAATCCCACTTTGGATTTCACCCAAAAACAGTTTTAAAGCATTTCCCTGTGGCTCAGTGAGTGTGTGTGTGTGTGTGTGTGTGTGTGTGTGTGTGTGTGTGTGTGTGTGTGTGAGGATTAATTTTCTTTCTCTTAAATGAAACTAAACCTTTCACTCCTTCACATGAAAACATTTTTCATTACACACTAAATATCACAACTTTCTCAGCAAACTTACATCAGTGCATCAAACGTTATTATAACTAATGTTCAGGAACCAGGACGCTAATCAATCAATCAATCAATCAATCAATCAATCACCTGTGAGACTAATGACGAGTTCACACTACACAGTTGTAGTTTAGCAAAGCACTGTTGAACTGTTAATGCGATCAGAGAGCTCAAAGACACAGGAAGAATATCTATCGAGAGCAGTCTCCAGACATGAAGCAGAGAAGATGTAGTTACTATGGTAACAGCCAAAAATTGTTTTTTATAAAGTTGTAATATTTGAGAAAAGGTCTTTGAGAGTCTCAGTGACACTTTCAGTCAGTCGCAGAGAAACCAAACCAACATTAACCAAAGTATCAGAGGATTGTTGCAACAGGGACCTTTTCTCTTGTAACACAGGAAGTCTCTGACCGCTGCACTGCTGCATATGCTAACTGTACTAGCTGCTGTTAGCTGTCTGTACCCGGACTGGGAGCTGGAAGGACAGAGGGACCCAGCGGGGAATACTGCCGGGGAGCAGGGCCCGAATGAGCCACAGACCCGGAGTGGGGCGGACCGACGGAGGAGACCGACCAGGACTCTGACTCTGGGGATGAAGAGCCGGCGGGTTCAGGCAGCGACAGGAGAGGAAGAGGAGGAAGAGGAGCCAGTTTGTAGCCAGTTAATTAGTCAGTAACTGTTAACGTTATCCATCATTCATCGTATCGATCAGTCTGATCAGTTTCAGTGAAGTTGGAAGTTATTGAACAACCAGACTGTGTGATGTTACACTGTGTTACTGCTTGTTCTGATTCACAATCATTACTGCTGATTAACAGGTTCTAATCAATACAGTGATATCAGAAACATGATGACTAATTGACTAGGACACTCCTTTGGGGACAACTGTTGGTAATCGGGCACAGTCCTGGCTCTTCGGGGACGTGGTCTCTGTGAGGACCTGTGGATGAACTTGGATTAAAACAGTCCCAGCTGTGATGTGATTGGCCGTTGTTGCTGCCAGCTGACACACCCAGCTACGATGTCTGATAAGGACTCAAACCTCAGCCCTGATCCAGATCCAGATCTCTGTGGCCTGCTGTGTTTAATGAGCTCTGGAACCAGGACTAGATTAAAGACTGATTTTACCCCCCCTCGCCTCTGGCAGGGCCGCTGGGTGTAACTCTGCAGGTGCACGGCGCTCAGCCAACCTGCCAAACACAGTCCTGCAGGTCATCACAGCCCCGCCCAGAACACCGGGTCAGGATGCCTGGACTCTGACCCCCCACCCCCACCCCGGGCCCCCTAACTGCCCCAGTATCTGCCCCAAGCAAACACTGCGAGGACGCTCCTCTGCCGTACGAGTCGCTCTGACAGGACTTTGGCTTGAAGGGGGAGGAGTGTGTGGTTAACAAGAGCCCCCTCCCTGAGTAAACTGAACTCTGCTCACCCTCATGTGGACACAATCACTCCCATCAGACCCATTAAAACCAGTTCAACATTCACAGTTTAGACTGCTGGTTCCTGTTCTGTCAATGAACTGTATGTTGTGTGTGTTTCCTATTGATCAGTATCAATAACAGTAACTGATCGACTGCACAATGAACCCAACAGTGAACTGTCAATATCGATCAGAGATGAGTTTTTATACATATATACATCATATTTTATACATGTTTTGATACATTCTCTGTCTTTATTCTGTATTTTAACATTTTTAACAATCAGACTTTATATTCTTCGATTCAGAGCTTTAACTTCAGTCCCTCCAGGAAGTCGTGATCACAATAATTCAACCATCAATCCCTGTGAATTCTGCTAAATCATTGTAGTTTCCAGTTTCTAGTTGAGAAGATGCCGACACTGAATCTCCGAACAGTCAGTTTATTCTCACTGGAACCAGTCATCAGTTTTTAATGAATTATGAAAAAGAAAGAACAAATTTCAAAACAATTTTCACTTTGTCCTGCAATTTCATAACAGAAATAATCTGTATCTGTACCTGAAATTGAGCATAGGCTTAGCTTTCAGTTACAGCTATATCATACGATCAGAGCTAGTCATAAACATACATCAGCTGATTCCTCTAAGCTTCCCATTGGATACCATACACAGTCAGCTGACAGCTCACCTGATTTCCTCAAGCATCCAATTGGCAAACATCTACATGGCGCCTTATTTAAGCTGCTTTAGCCTGCCTGCCTATCTCTGCTGCTTCCTCTACAAGCCTTTTGCACCCACCTCCACCCCAGCTCCTCCTTTTTATGTTGTTTCTAATTAATCAATGTCATTTTCTGATTGCATTGATGCTTGCTCTGTTCTGTACCCTGGGGGTCTCTGCTGCCGCTCTCCTTGTCTTAAGGTTTTCCATGTAGGCACGCAGAAGGACAAGGAGGTCCCAGAACAGAGCCATACCGCCAAATGTAAAATTCTGCTTGGGATATAAGATATTTTGACAAAAGTGGTCCTGACTGAAATGGGTTTGTTGACTGGTTGATCAGAAGTTTCTAGATTTGTTAGAAAAATCCTGACAGAAGAGTTTCAGATCAATGTTTCTGATCACAAGAATATCTGTCAGCTACAGATATTGACACATTTTGCTCATTTATTACCTGTGTGAAGTATGTTAGCTGTACCGAGGACTCAACCCTACTTAAAACATCACAACATGCATTGGACGTTTTTAGAAAAACTGCTGTAGAAACAATCCCATGATTCACCTGTGTCTGAGGCTTTACCCAATCAGCAGCAGCATGTATTTAATGACCGCCGTATTAAATAGTCCCTCCAGTTTTTCACAGGTTTCTTCTGGGACTAAAAATATCTGATTTCACTGCAGATTTGATCAAATGTTGCGATGCGTGTT